CAAAAAAATTAAAATCAATTTATATAATGGTACAAGATGAAATTAAATTTACAAAAATAGATTTTTTGACAAATTCAAAAAATTTACACTGTACAGTGAAAAAGACAGTATGATAAAATGCAGTGGTGAAGTTAAAATTTACTGTACATGTACAAAATAATAACTAGTTCGCGAGACTAATAATAACTTACTATTGTGTTATGTGTCACATTAAATATGAACACATTATTAGTAGACATACTAGAACCATGATAAGGTACTACTCCTCCAAACATTATTCCTTTATTTCCATTTATTTTGTTGATTGTGAAACTACCAGTAGGAGGACAACACTGACCACTGACAAATGGAACAGTGAATTGCCCTAAAAAAGAAATTTTATAATTAGAAGCACACTACACACCAAGACATTATTAACAAACTTAGTTATTCCTAACTGAATTAACTCAATTTCACATTATGTTTAAAATTAATCTTGTTCATAGCTGAAATGCTTGCATGGAACACAAGGACCTTGCCTTACCCTGGGACCTCCTCTCCCATGCCCTCACTGATGATAGTCTGGCTACATGAGAATGCACTGATTAATGCATGGCCTCCTTGAATACTTTTCTATTTTTGCTTTTTATATTAGTTTTGCATACTTTGTATATTTTGGTTTTTGTGTGCTTTGCATGCTTTAGTTTTGTACAGTTTCTGTGTGTATTTTTGTTTGCTCATAACAACAACAACAATAATAATAACATTTTGTTTCATTTTATTAATTTTTTTGTTTTAGGTACTGTCATTTTTTTCTTATTCATGTATATATTACTTAATGCAATGTCAATGTCTCTCTTCACTATTTTCAGCATTCATTCCTTCATCCTTTCGTTCTTATGACAACAATGACATTAAAATAGTCTATGTGAACCTCACCATTAGATAGATTGCAAAGTAGCTGTTCATTAGTACGAGTACGGCCATCCTTAAGCTGCTCATATTGAAACTGAGAATGCTTGACAGCTGGCAAACCTGTCCCTCCGACCATAAAAAGATAGTCAGTTCCATCAAAATCTAGTGACACCATCCCAGCATGAACTTTCTTCATCATGGACTCATCGTTAGGATGCATCTGAGTCCAGCTCATGGTCAGTGTATTTAGTACAGTTAAGCTGTTGTGGAAACACTGATCATGACCACACCAGCCAGCATAATAATAAATATTAAAATGAAAGGTGGTACAGGAGTAGCCAATGACTCCTAATGGAGGAGTGCCTCTTGTTAGGTGAGAGGACCAGCGAGCTGATGAAAAGGAAAATGTCTCAACTGTTGAGGTCACTTTCCTCTTTTGAGGTGAATCGTGTACATTACTAACA